ACGAAACTTATTGAGAGCCACAAGCAATCGGGGGAAGTGGAGAGCCATGACCGCCTACGTCTTGAAAAGACACGGCACATAGAAAGAAAGAAAGATTATTTGTTTTTATACTTAGTTTTTTGTTGTTTCTTAAGTGGAGTAGGGTTTCTTGGTGATTGTTTGCTTTGTATTGTGCTGACCTCTTTTGATCGTGCTTATGTATATTATCGCTTAATTGCTTTATGTAGGATTGACCTCTTTTACCGTGTTGAGCGGTCCTTTTTTCGTGTCAGTGTATATGGTCGCTTGATTTTTTTTACTTATTTTTAGGTCATGGTTAGGTGTGCTTGTGTGTGCGTGTGTTTATGCTTTCGTATCTGTGCTTGTGTGCTGATTTTTTATTAATATTTACTAATATTTATGTGTATGTATATTCCTTTGTGAGCTTCGTGTGTGTGTGTGTGTGTGTGCGCGTGTTTTGTGACTATTGTGCTATATAGTTCTTTATTTTTTTGTAATCTGGTTTTTTGTTTGCTTGTGATTAAGTGTTTATACATGTGTTTGTGCTTATATGTAATAGGTTTGTGTTTGTAGTGGGATTGTGTTTTGTGTTGTGTTTTTTGTTTCTGTTTGTAATGGTATTTAAGTAAGAAAGTAAGCATTTATTTGAATGTCCACATTTTCCCATTATTTCATTTTTCTTGTTTTGTAGTTTGCTTTGGTTTCTTAATGGCGATTGTTGTTAACTTATCTTCCAGACATAGCTTACAGTTTCCGCTACTTCAAAATATTGAGCGAGGGTGCTCTTTTTATGATTTCCTATTTCTTTTTGACTCCATATGTATTTTGATAGTGTTGTGTTGATTTTGTATCTTTTTGTTTTAAATGTTTTGTGATTCTTAAATCTTTCTTTGAAGGTTATTTTATTTCTGTGGCTATAAATTTTTTTCGTCTGTGTTAATGTTGTTTGTTACGATGGCTTTACATATTATGTTGTTGGTTAGACATCTATTATTAAGTGAGCAGTTATCTTTGTTTCGACAGTTGCATTTATTGACGGTTTCCTGGTTTATGTTTTTGCTATTGATTTTTTTACGTATTTTTTGCTGTGTTTGGTTATTATTTTTTCCATGTTGTTCATGCAGCTGTGACTGATTTTGACTGTGTTTTTGTTGATTTTTGATAGTTTGTTGTGTATGGGGGAAATGGTTTTCAATTATACTTGTTTTTATTATATTATTTTAGTGAGGGTTAGACCAGATTATGTTTGTTTTTCTGTTGTTTTTGTTTGGTTTGTTTTCATTTATGTATTCCAGTTTGTTTGAATAGCCGCTATTTCTTAGTGCTGACTCGTATATTTCTTTGTTTTTGCTGAATGTTTTAATGTTGCTGAATAAGTAGTTTGCATAGACCATTCAAATAACAGTTATGGACAGAGTGAGTATTAAGTGGAGTCATAAGTAAAAACCAAGTTATGTCTGATGCTTAAATCTAAGGATTTTTTTTTCGCTTGTTCAAATAAAAACACAAATTATGAATTATAGTTTGAGTCATAAATAATTTGCATTTTTACTTATTAACTTTATTTTTCAAAGTATTAAAATTGGTTCCCAAAGATGAAAACTACTTATGACTACTATTATTGGGTATCACCCCCACATACACACACTTCGTGAGCTGTTTTCATTAAGAGTCACGAGAGGTTGCTACTAGGACACTATATAACCTCCAGGGACTGTGAAGGTTCAAGAGATGATTCTTAGATAGTTTCCAGAAGAATTTGTTAGCAAGACTGGTTATGAGTGAAATAATGGCATACATTATTTTTTGCTTTGGACACTTTTTCAGTCTGATAGGGTTGGCGATAAAGTGTCCCAAAACATCATATTCATGTCCTGTACTTACCAGTGATACTGGTCAAACAAACAAAACTGGGGAAACAATCAGGTTCAGTTAGTTGACTGACCAGTTAGATAAGTACAAAAAAAAAAAAAAGAAGAAAAATCCAACCTTATACATATATTATGACAGTTGCTGGGTTTGCAATGGAAATAACGAAAAGTTTATCTTTTATTTTGAGGTAAATATAGGAAACTAGCAGCATTGCCCGGCGTTGCCCGGGCTTGATTCAAAAATCGTACGACTCATACAGCAATCGCTATCACTTGACTTAAAAATATTTTTTGCTTGCCTTTTTTTGCCTTTGCTGATGTTGTTTACATGCCTTACTTCTTGCCTATCTCACACTGCGAATTTTTTCTAAGCTCTATACTAAACATTAAATCTGTTACGAAAAAAGAACTAAACAAAATGAACACAAAACGATCAGCTTTAAAAAAGGACTCGTAACTGGAAAAACCGAATGAAAAAAAGAATGTTAACAACAAATACTTTTTCACACCCAACCCAGTTATGCAGAATCAGAATCAATATTGAGTTTAAGCAAGCGAATCAGCCAATTGGAGTAATGCGCCATGCAGATTTAAATTTTTCCCACTTGTGACGAATGCAGCTATCGATTTTTTTTTGCATGCTAGTTAACATTCGTGTCAGTCAGCTATTGGCTCTCACGCTGGCCAATAGAATCTTCCTGCCTATTCGTGGTAGCCAGCTATAGGCTCTCACTCTGGCCAGTAGAAAATGGCTGTAAACTACATGACAACTGCCGTAGAATCGATTATTTCCACTATCGATGGGAGTCGGGAAATGCAAAGTCGGTCTTGGCCTTCTGCTAACTTGGAGCATGTGCATGTAAATTTTGGTGCAAATCCGTCGAAAATTGCTGCCGTTTATTCGTTACACACACACACACACACACACACACACAAATCCTGCCTTTTATAGATAGAGATTGCCTATTTTTCCCAGATATTATTAAGGCTGACTGTGAAAGTCAAGCTAAACTATGAAGATTGTAATTTAATGACTAATAAATGAAAGTGAGTAATTGTTGAATTTTTTATTTTCTTATTTGTTTATAAATATATTTATTTACTTTTTTAATTATTATTTTACTTTAATTTGGTAACTTATTGTGGTGAACAGCCCCGTAGAAGCAAGCGAGCCAGAGTGGCTTGCATCTGGTGTATAGGAAAATAAGGGTCTTACCTTAACGTGCGGCACGTGACATCAGCAAGTTTGCTTTGTGAAAATGGCATTAATCTCCCATCCAGCCATTCTAGCAGTATGTGCAATGATGAGGGGTTTTTGTAGTTTGGCATGCTTCCACCAATAGCAAGTCGTGTGCTGATTGGTCGAACTGGAGGAGGCAATTTGCCTGTGTAACCGAGAATAACAGCGAAGAACGCTGATTGGCTGGGGAACCGCGGTGTTGGCCTGATAAAAGAGTGCTGGAGCCGTGAAAAAGGGGAGAGAAACGTTGGCTATATGTAGTGACGTGTGAAGAAAGTGAGGACGGTGAATTGAACCCGTGATATTGTGATTTGTACAAGTGACGTTGCAGCAATACAGACTTATTTAAGCTACACTTATTTATTTTAAATAATAGGCTTTGATTTAACCGTTTTCTTTGAATTTAAAAAATGTTTATGGTTATGTATGTTGGCTTGTGAAAGGAGCATTTCTTTTAAGAAACAAGATATTTGAAAAACCCCAAGTGAAGGTTATCATTTTGGCAAGATTTGATAGCAGCATTCTCAAGAACTTTTCATCTATTTTGATCTTAACTTTCACAGCTAGCTTTAACAATATTTTTGAGAGTTCTTAAAGTTAAAAATTTTCAAAACCTAATGATTTTATTTCTGTTTCTTATACATGTTGTAGAATAAAGTCCTTACATTTACCCTGATGAAGTCCATCAGAGTATGAAACATATTGGCTAAGATAAGTTTTCTTTCATGTGTTCATTCATATTGTCTTTTCACACACACACACATATATATATGCACACACATTTGTGAGTGTGCAAAAGATATATGTATACATAGACACATAGATAAAGGATAATATAATGTGGAAGCAGCTTATAGTATTACTTTGGGACAGGTCTTTAAAAAAAACAGTTGATGGATAACAACATAATGGGTATAAAAATTAGAACAATTTATATTTACTGTTATAAATTTACATTTATGATTACAAATTAATTTCAATAAACAACTTTACATTTACTGATTAATTTGTTTTTATGGCTTAGCAACCTTTTGTAGGTTATTTAAAGCCAGAAAATATTTTAGATTGTAAGAATCTTTTTGAGATAATAATAATTTATTGATACAAGACCTACAAATTAACCCATAGCTGGGGGGAAAAGGTGGATTCATTACTTTCCCAAGAGTATTTGCACATAAGTGAATATAACAAACCCAACTGGAATTGGAACTATATATGCCCACTTAAACATACAAGAATCTTTACTAACTTATATACATTATTATCTATGGTTTTAATTCATGTGATACATGAATAAACAATGAGAATTGACCCAAATAAAATTGAAAATACCAATGCTCTGTATTTTTGTCTGTTTTCTCTCAAACTCTGATGATGTTTTAATAAAATTGAAACATGTTAGATGGATATACGTTTCATATTTATTCTTTATCATATATGTGTGAACTTACTGATTTCTTCTGAAATGAGTAACCAATGCTTTATCATAATTGATGTCAAATAAGACTTCTGTCATTTACATTTAATATTACAGTATTATGGAGTTAGACTAGGTACAAATAATAGTAGTGTATAGTATCTGAGTAAATATAAGCCTACCAGTTAGCTTTAGATACAAGTCAGAAAGAGGTTTTTGAGTCATGTTAGGGAAAAAAAGAAGGCCTTATGAGACATCAAATACAATAGTGATTTCATTCACTGAATTATATTAGTAAAAAATATTCAAACTCTGGACACATTTCTTGATATTTTATATGCTTTTTATTTTTATTTTATTTTTTAATAGAAAAATAAAGCAAAAACTTAATATATACAAAATGTTATCAGAGCTCATTTTCTACAATCCATCCATCTTGACATGAATTTGATTTCAGCTTTTTCTTGAAATTTTAATTTGCTGCTGCTTTCACAGAAACCTTTTTCTGATTTTTTGTAGAATTTGCAGATTTTAATTTATCAATCATTTCCAACAGCTGATAAATGTCCAAAGACTCACCTGCCAAATATAATTTACATTTCATATTACATATTTGAAAATAATTGATTGATTTAACAAGAGTCACAAACTCAATTAGCATGAATTTTACATCAAGCAAAACTACAAAATGATAAACTTGAAATCATTTTACTTTAGATTTAACTGTTTCAGAAAATTCTATCCATCAATGTACAGAATAGAAAAAGCTAAAACAGAAATAGTAGAAGCTAGAACAAAAATTAAATTTCAGTCAAAAAGAATTAATCTTATTTCCATAATCTGGTGTGTTCTAAAAAAGCAAATATGACATGGCCCAGCAATTACTGAGGTTCATAAAAGTTTAACATAAATTAGGTTACACTAAATCATGGTCCAAGAAACAAAACTAACAAACTTTACTTACAAAAGCTTTGAATATGTAAATGGAGAAACAAATAAAGAGGATTAATAAATAAAATGAGAATTTTATTCAAATAACATAGGAGAAATATGAGCAAAAAAGAAGGAAAGATTATTTATTTGTCTTAGAGTTATTTTTAAATTGTAAGAAATTTTTGGAGATAATAAGGATTTACTGATACAAGACCTAATAATTAACCCATAGCTAGGGGGGAGAAGAAGTTTAATCATACCTTGCCCAAGGGTATTTTTGCATAAGTGAATATAACAAACCCAACTGGAATTGGAACTTGACTCTCTGATTTCCAATTCTGAGCTGTTATCCATTACACCACATGCACGTGGTATTCCCAAGCAGTCACCCATCTAGGTACTGACCAGGCTCAATGGTTCTTAACTTTGGGGGTGTTTTAATGTGATATGGACATAATCCCCAAAAAGATGGAAAGAAAACATGAAATAAATTCTGACCCACTAGATAATATATGCAGACTTGTATAAAATTAGTGTTTTACTCTAATTTGCATCTATTTGGAATTTTTTAAATAATTTCATTTTAAAATAAGTTTCTATGTTGTTACTATATTTCTAAAAATACTATCAGATTATCTATTATTTTATAGAAATCTAGTGTGGTTATTAAAATCAGGAGTATCACTATTGTTTATTGCAAGTATAAATAAAGACAAATAGAAATACAAAAATCCTGATTCTGAAATGTTACAAATGATTTCCTTGCCATTCATCATTAATATATTACAGTTTGCATCTAAATTACCAACTGATTAATTCACTTCTATTGATACAAAATAACAGGAAAAGATATTGAAACTTACCCAGTGGTATGTTGTATCCAATCTTGAGTCCATGAGGATTGGATGGAGTTAGACAATCCATGTCAACTTCTTTACGTAAACATGTATCAATGTCCACAGAACTAAAAAATGCCACAGACTACAAAAAAAAAAAAATATCATAATGAAAAGGATTTGCATTAAAATAAAATGTAATGAAAATTTCTGAAGCAAGTTGTACATGCAGGCATTTTAAATCAAATGTCCAATCTACAAGATCAATTAAAAATAAGTAACTACAGGATGTACCTCTAATCTGATAATCTTGGGATCTGGACATTCCTGGGCCACGTAACATTCTAGAAAACAAAAACTGACTCCAATGGGATCCCTCATGCAAATATATACCTGAAATCATTTTAATTCCTATAATATATTGTCCTCATCATTATTGTTATATTCCCAATGTTTACTTCAATTCACTTTAGTAACTCAACTTTCCAAGTTTTTGTTTACCTCTGCTGTTGAACACACAACTCAAGTCACTGGATTACTTCAACCAACACTTTTATCCACTAAGCCATGTGTCCTAACTAAAGCCAGAGCTTATAATGACCAAAATGTAATGAATATGACAATAAAGATGAGTTTGAATAGTGTGAATAGTTACAATACCTTATCTTAAAAATATAGACAGATGTTAAAAGCAGGCACATCTTCATTATTTCTTACCTGCAACAAATCAAGCAAATTACAAACAGCTTGATCTTAATTTTTTCTTACCTGTGGCAAATCAAACATTCCCAGTTTGTAAGCAAACAAACTTCTTGTGAACAAATTGGTAATCTGCAAAGCCAACGCTGCCGTGTGTTGGTCTTTAGTTTGAATTAAGTATCGTACTTCATCATGAATACTGATGCAGAAACGTCCATTGATGGAGAATTCCTCCATCAGCCATTTCATTGAAACCAACATCAGGTGCAGATAATCAACAGCAGAACTTTGCACAACCCAGTTAATCCGACTGGTCATAAACTGAAATTAGAAACAAACATTCACAAAACATGAAATTTAAATACTCATCAACAGAAAATGAAAAATAAAATTATCTCTTTTTTTTCCTCTTTCAAATCTGTATTTACTTATTTCTATTCATTGAGGAGGACTTTTTTTTTTCTTTTTAATAATTGTTCACCCAATACAAGACCCATGTGCCACTCAAGGAGTCACCTTTAGAGAACACCCATCGATCAGGATAGGTGAAAGTTCTGAGTATGCTCAGTGATGGTGGAGCATTACTAATTTGGTTTAGGGATTATTGAATATTACAAACTTCTCTTTATTTCAGAGTGAAGTAGAAGATATTTTCCATAAATGTAAATTACTCCTCAAAAGAAGTAAACAATTATTTTAATTATGATTCTCTTGTGGTGTCCTCCCTCTATTGTGGACTCTTCCACTTACTATAAAATTAATAGGATAGTAAACCTCAGGGGAACAGTGATATAGACTGAATGCTGGTCAACTGACACACATTCCCAAGTCGTGTAACACTGTTCTGTTGTATTTACTGTTCAATATACGATTTATCTGCAACCTCTTCTTTTGTTATTTCTTAACCATATACTTGGTCACAACAGATTCTCATCAAAGATGAACAAAAACATAAATATAAAACAACCTATAAATATTTCAATGTTTTTTTTACATCTTCACAATAAAATGATCAAGAATAAATAAAGTAGAACTTTTAGTATAACCAAAACAAAGTAAAAAAAAAAACATAATAGGCAAAATATTAACCATACATAAATAGTTGTCCAACTCACCAAGTAAATATTAGTATCTGTTTATATTTCTGAGATGAGGTAATATTTATCATTTATGATAAATATGGCAACAAAGATGAGGATGATGGTCTGAACAATGTAAATAAGTAAATATTAATTTTTTAATTTTTCTAAAGCTAAAAAGACAGTTTTGTTTTCTTTTATTTAATTTTGTTTCCATTATCAATCGAACAACTAAGGATCCTAAAATGTTCCACTTACATCATCTGATACAAATTCTGGTTCCAAAGCTTTACTGATTCGACAACCAAGTACAGGAGTTGAAGGTTGGGCATCTTTTGCAATTTGCTCAAGTTTGTTGAACATATAACTTTCACTGGAAAAAAAATTGTTGCTATTCAAAAACACTTTTATGGGTTTATTCATATTAAAAAAATCTTTAATGTGAATATAATTTCCAAATAAATGAGTTAATGGAATTCTACTGATTGTCAAATATAAGGCAAACAAGAGAATCTTTTCATTGTTCTACCAAAACAATAAACTAAACAACTGAGAGTCTCCTTAACTACATTCAATTATTATACAAAATCATGAAGTTTAATTAAATCTGAAATATATTAATATCAGGGATTAAATTCATAAATATGATGAACTTGTGCTAATAAAATAGGATTAAATAATTTGATTATATTTAAGCTTTTTTTCATGAATTTTAGTTTGAAATTACAATTTTAGTAAAATTACAATTTTAGTAAAATTACAATTTAGTAAAATTACAATTTAGTAAAATTACAATTTTAGTAAAAGCAAATAAACCTTTGACTGTTAAGTTCTCTGCCAATATTATTGCTGTTTTTTCTTGTTTTCACACAAAATAACAAAAACAAAGATAAGCACAAAATATTATTTAATTGTAATGACTGTACAGCATAAACATATATATATATATATATATATATATATATATAATAGATATATAAAATGAGAGAGAGAGAATAAATATAGTAAAAAAAAAAAAACTAACCTTCCACCTCTCCATTCTCCAGTATTAGGGCTGAAAAATAAAAACAATTTAAATAGACTTATAAATTAATAAAATTATCTTAAATAATAGCCTGTCACTTGAAATTAATTTCTAATTAAACAGTCTCAGTAATTGCGTATAATTCGGTAGCCTATTTCTAATGTATCTGTTTATTCAGAATCTTGTAACAGATAGTGGATGATTAAATGGAAAGAGAGACAAAAGGCAAAGAAAAAATGAAGACTACTGGAATGACAGCAGAAATTATATACATCTAAGGGGGTGCTGAAAAACTCTAAAGCTGACCAAGAAAATTAAAAAAAAAAAAATTTTGGAAAGGGGGAGCTGAGAACTTTTCAGCAACTCTGCGTACGCGCACACTGATATATATTTTTTTTCTTATTACTATATATATATATATATATATATATGTGTGTGTGTATATGTATATATTTCTTATTACTATAATTTCTTATTTAGTGGGTAAACATGTTTCAGTCACTATACCTATTTTTTATTTTCTTGATTAATAACAATTGGCTTAGATTGAGAAGTCCTACTAAAGAGAAATTATAGAGTATGGAAGTAGGACTTCTCAATCTAGGCTGGTTGTTATTAATTTCACTGTTTAAAAAATAATAAAAAATCAGGAACATTAACTCAAGCACATGTACCCACTAAAAATGGTATTATTATAATAAGAATAAAACAGGATTAAAAAAATTCATTTAAAAAAAATTATCATATAAAAGAAAAGAGAAAACCATTTTTGTGAATGCATTTTCTTTTTCGAGAAACTTTATCAAGGCATGTTCCTCAAGGAATGAAATAGATTGGCATAAAAATTTTCCCTCTTGTTTAGTTTTTTATATTGTTTAAATTATAAATGGTGACTGTACAGAAGCCAATGTTTCAAGCATGCAACATCAGAATTACAATATCCCACACCCCAATCAAAAAAGAAAATGAATAGATATATTATAATTCTCTTTGTTTCTTAGTGCATACATTGTGCACTACCAATGTCTCATAGACTATTTTGCTTTAAACGAGGACAGACAGAAAAGACATATCAGAGATGCTGTTTAGTGAGAGAAAGATAGTGGAGGCAATAACACTCGTTTAATGTCAGCTTCAGCAAAATAGAAAGACTTGCCAATTTAAAATCTTTTCATGTGTACACTCTTACTTAAATAATAACCTGCATTCATATCTGTATATGTATATGTGTGTGTGTATATATATATATATATATATATATATATATATATATATATATGCACGCACACACTTTCAACAATGTGTCATTAATCAAAGTCCAATGCAATAAATTGGGTTGTTACTTATAGAAAGTGACACATTGCCAGTAGCTATAAAACTACTGTTTGCTGCAAAACAAAACTTTCTTCTCCACAGTTCTTTAAAGTTGGAGTCTTTTGCTGGTAAAATAGTTTGTATTTTTTCAAATGAAAACAGCAGTGGGTGATCTGATATCTTCACAATAAAAGCATGACAGCCTCTGTATTCTAAGCTTAAGGATAAAGTATGGGACTTCATGCTGAAGTTTTAAATCAAGTTTGAAATTAGTGATGTTCATTAGCATCAACATTTATAGGAGCTAATTATGCTATTGAGAAATTGAATTATATGTGGTATGTGTGTGTGTATATATATATATATATCTTGAGCTAAAATCTGTGATTTTGTAGCAGAACAAAAAACTCTCTTGAAAAGCAGATATTTGCCAAAGGTTTCTGAAGCTTATCTTAAATTCATTAGGAGAAAAGGATTTTAAATTTCAGACCAAGTCTGAATACATTAACTTTACATTGGAAAAAGTTTTGCACTCATTAAATCCATGATTGGCATCAATAATAAGAAAAGTTAAAAAATAATCTCCTAATCTGCTTATACTTGATGTCCTTCAAGACAATGGCATTGTGGAAATAAGTGTTGGTCAAGTGTTGCAGTTACCTAGTGATCATGAGTTCTACACTTGGATTAGGTAGTGAAATCCATATACCCTGATTCATCAGAAGTATTGGCTAGGACAATAAAACTAATCAACAACATATCATTTATCAAACAAAAAGTGAACACTTGAAGATGGCTGGAAGGTACTTAGTTGAAGCATTATGTCTATAATAACGTTTATAACAACCAAAGATGAGAACAATAATTTGAAGAAATTAAAATCTCTTGTCAATTCTTAAAAAAAAAAAAAAAAAAAATTGATTGAAGTTAATTATGAAAAAATATCAAATGATCAAAATAAGCTTATATATTTTGAAAGAGGACAAAGCTGGAATATATATATATATATATATATATATATATATATATATATATATATATATATATATATATATATATATATATATAAAAAAAAAGAAGAGAGAGGTGCGCAAACGTTTTTTGGTTGTAATGTGGATTTATTTAGAAAAAAATATTATACTTTGTTTTACATTATTTTACTACACGTGTTTCTGGTCTCGTGACCGTCTTCAGGTAAAAGCGGAGATTTCCACATATTAAAAATAATTAATTTTTTCTTTTGTTTTTCAATGTTAAATATTCTCGACATGAGATATTTTCTGTGTTAGTAATCCGAATGTCTTTCTTGAATTGGCAATGAAGAGTTCTGCTTGTGAAGGGTCATAAAACAATTAAGGTTGGTCCAAGAGAAATGATGAATTGCTTATAGGCATTTAATCTGTTAATGTTTTATTGACCCCTATGTGTTCTTGGATCTGTTTCCATTTTTGTGTGTTTCTGTCAGCATGCATGTATATATGCTTTTCTCTCGTTGGAACCACTACAACCTCTTTCGTTTTATATATATATATATATATATATATATATATATATATATATAGTGTAACCCGAATATAAGAGAGATTTTCTCTGGTCCCAAATTAGAGCCTGTGTTAATGTATATAAATATAAGAGACTTCTTCTCTGGTCCCGACAACTCTCTTATATCTGGGTTACACTGTATGTATATATATATATATATATATATATATATATATATATATATATATATATTAATGAATGAAAAAGACACTTTAAGCCCTAACCTTGACCTATTTATGTGGTAAAAGAAAAGGAAGTGATATATACTATTCCTATATATCACTTCTTTTTTTTTTTTACCACATAAATAGGTCAAGGTTAGGTCACTCCTCCTACCCCAATTTAAGGCTTGTTTAAGAGAGATGTAAATTTAACCCTCACTATATTTTGTATTGTCTCTTTAACCGCCACCTTCACCCCCTGTTTAATTACAAAATTACACTACCCATCAATTTCTAATCACATTTTTCCTCTCATTTCATTGCTGGAAGTGTTACCTGATGATCCAAAATCCTTTTAAAAAGGATTTTGGTGAAATAAATTATTGTAATGGTACCTTAAAGTGTCTGTTTTTCATTAAATATTAGCTCTGTTCTTCATTGAGCTCTCAGGATTTCATCCTCCTTGGATTTACCAATTCGGTTTACCAAATTCTTCATAACTTAACTTATATATATATATATATATATATATATATATATATATATATATATATATTAGTGCCAACTCTATGTAATTTTGGTTAAAATTAAAAAGAGAAATGACTAAAAAGTTACAAGTAGAGAAAGAGACTGACATAACCCACTAACTCACAAATATATTTCTATCAACACCTGTGGTACAAGAGAAATTATAAGTAGCAATTTTAAAACAGTGGACTTTTATTTGATAGATTATAACAATAGAGTGAATCTATTTACTTAGCTTAGCATTGACTGGTACAAGGTCAACATAGTTAAGTATTTAGGCCTGAGCTTACTAGTAATGGCTTAAAGAGTCTAGATTTCTAAACTCTGATCAAACCAATATAAAGTGTTGATCTGAATATAAACTGATAGAAGGCATTTGTTAAAGTTGTTACATTTTTTTTTAACTAACTCAGATAATATTAACACAAAGCCAAAAAAGCATTCAATTATTCTTTAGAAAGTTCCTTTCAAATGTCTCCACAACCAATGCTAATGAAGTAGGGGGTCAAGACCTCTTCTTTGCGAAGCTCTGGTACAGAGCACACATTCTGGTTTCAAATATTTACAAATCTGATAAAACATTTCTAATTCAATGTAACACAGATTGTTTTCACTCAATAAAAGTTTGCAAACACTTAATAACACTTCAAGTTTCATCCTTCAAGTTTCAACTTCATTTTGTCAAGCTGGTATTATTTAACAAATGCCACTTAACTTTTGATATGTTGTTCTGAATCTGAACAATGTTAACTATTTGTGGAACTGAAATAAGTACCAATAATTTAATAATGAATAGAATGTATTTTTTGTACCAACTTTGAAAAAACCAGTAAAATAAATGCCAACAGCTGCTTTAATTCTAATCAAAGTATTTTACAATGTTTTTCTTTGTCATTATGCTAAATATTTTACACTTAAAATCCATGAGAGCTAAGTGCAATAAATAATATCAACTCATTTAATGAAGATGATGATCACAATATGGTGGTCATTTTACCAGAGTTTCTTTTGTCCAGCTGTCTAAGGTCAATACACTTCACCTTTTCACTATCTGTCAGCCAAAAAACATTAATTCAATCACTTATAACATATGTCCTTGTCTCAGCTACCCTCCTCTACTCAAAAAGAGAAACCAAAACAGAGATGACCATTATAAACCAGTTGAATGACAGTCAACCAGTGCAGCCAGAACAAAGGCCATCCACAGTGGCAGGAAGAGGCGGATTGGGGAATCATCTTGAAAATGCCAGGAGTTCTTTAACTGACTTGAGTTTAAGCCGTCAGTAAATGTTCAGAAATGTCCTTTGGTTTTTCTATGCTTAAAATTTCCAAAATGCACAAATTTATCCTATTTTGCAACTTTTTTTATCAGATATTTATAAAAAATCGCCTTTTAAATTACAGTACTCCATATCCAAAGGAAAACAACTTGAAGTAAATTTTCACAGTTGTCTCCCTTAGAAACATAAAAAAATACTAAGAGAA